GGGGGAGGAGGAGGAGGAAGAAGAAAGAAGCTAAGGAGGGAGGGAGGATGAAGTTATTTATGTTAATATACATTATTCAATATTATTCATATTTTTCAACAAAGTAACAAAAGTTTTTAAATTTCTGCTTCAGTTTCTAATACAATAATTATCAATAGATATAACCTACTCAAGCAAGCATTTTGAGAGGTTTGTTACTAATTCCTAAGAGTATACAAAGGTCATCAACCAAAGACTTTGAGAGAGTAGGTGTAAATGGGAAAGGAAGCCTAAGAAATGAAGATGAATGAGGAGAAACCAGCAAGAGTAAGTAAAAACCATCTGCGAATTAAAAGGTAACCAAGCAACAATCGGAGGGGTCAAGTAAGAAAAGTCTTTGAAGAAGAGACCCATCAACCACATTATATACTGAAGAGACTAAATAAAATAAACACTGACTTTGAATTTGAAATTATTGAAGTCAATAGTGACCTTGATAAAATGTTTTGAGTGGTAGACAAAAGCCTGACTAGACAGAACTCAAGAGATGATGGGAGAACAGGAAATGAAAAGAGAAGTATCACCTGTATTTAATATATTTCATTTTAAAAGAGAGATGGTATCCAGAGTAAAAGTAACATCAGCAGAGGGTATTCTTATTTTTCCAGATTAAGACTATAATAGTAGTACATTTACATGTTGATAAGAATTATACAGAAGTGAGAAGGAAATTAATAATGCAAGAGAGAAGAGGATAATGATAGAAGTCATATCGGAGTAGTCTAGAGAGGATGGGACCCAATGCATTAAAAAGTATAAATACTTATTTTATTATTATAGGCTAGAAGACAAAAAGATATTGGTACAAAAGTAATTAGGTTGGTAGATATGGGAGGAGAAATGCGTGGAAATCATCTTCACATTGTTTCTATTTTCTCAGTAAATATAAAAGCAAAGGTGATAATGAACATTTGAGTAGAAAGAGGAAAGTATGAAATAATTACACTGGAGAGTAAGAGAGTGAACTAACTAGAGAATGTATCTGGATTCCAGTCTAAGGTCAAGGGCTTAATGGTCATGTATTTGAAGTAAGATAAGTCAGCAGATGTGTTTCCCTCTGGCCATATTTAATTAGCAGTACTTAATGATGGCAACACAGCTTAAAATTCGCATACTGAGTTGGCTCAGAGACTATTATTTACTTATTGGTGCACACATTTCATTATTCTTTGTGTTTCTTTCTCTTCTTTACTTCTTTAAAGCAACCAACATTTGCCTCTAGAAAAAGCAGGATCACATTTAGATTTGATCATTTAAGCAGTAAACGGTATTTCTCCTCTTGAACAATTGACTTGATAAGGAACAAAACCTAAATTCTATTAATAAGTGCTCAACAGATTCTGAATAGGATAAAATGTTAATATCTCTGTTTAACTAGAACATCCTCCACACACTACAACCACCAAATCAAGCTGGCATAAATATCAACAATACCTCGTCAATACTATAATCATTAAAATTATGCCGTAGTTAAGTCACTTGTTGTGTCTTCTGGTTGTTGTACACAACAGTAATAATTAGAATTACAAAGTCTATATCTATATTCTCTCAGCTTCCAGGCACCCAGTTTAGGACCATAATTGACAGTTTTCACCCAAAGCACATTTGTTAAGAGCAATTTGAATGCTGTAATGCCCATGTCTAAGAAAAAGAAAATGTGTCTGTAATCTTTCCTCATCTCCTCATTGCCAACTATGATTAGCTATTCCAGTGTTTTCATAATCATTGGAATCTGGACCCAATAAAAATCTTCACATCGCAGTACTAGAAGTAATCAGAGGCTGCCTGAAATATTCTGAAGCCTCTTATACTAGAAGGTGGAATGATCCTTGTACAATGGCTGTATCAGAAATGCGAAGGAGGGTAGGAACAAGGGGAAAAAATGAGAACCAAGACCTGTCATGTAAAGGCACAAGATCCCAATAATGAATGTAACTGTATTGTATACCTAAAATGTACCAATAAACTCAATGAGAGGGAAAAAAAATAAATGTGAGCTATTATTATCTGTTAAACACTGTTGGCTCAAATTGTGATGTTTCTAGAAAGAATTCTCTCTTTTCAAAATTATCAAGATCACTGTTTATGATCCCTTGTCTAATAAGGCATATTCGTTTAAGCCCTTTAGATTGTGCCTACTAATCTTCATTTCTACTCTTTCTGAACATTCAATTTAATAGTAATCACCAAGACTACCAAGTGCTCAAAAGAACAAATATTACATGGTGCCACTTATATGAAGTACCTAGAGAAGCAAAATTCATAGAGACTAAAGGTACAGTGGTTGAGGATGAGCAATGGGCAGAGTTTCAGTTTGAGAAGATTAAAAGTTCTGAAAATGAATGATAGTGATGAGTATCCAATAGTGTAAATGTATGTAATGCTGCAGAACACTTAAAAATGGTTAAAATAGTAAATTTTATCTTACACATATTTTATTACAACTTTTAAAAAGAGAGTTCCCAACATTTAACATGAGTTATTTTCTCTGCTCAGTTCATAGAAACCATTTATCTGGAATGAGTATTTGTCACTTATTTGGCTAACCTCCCAGGACCTCTAAAGCAAACTCTTTATATTTGAGGAAAATCCCACCACAAGATCCTCTCCTTCTCAGGTGTAGAAGGTAGCTGGCATATTTTCTTTAGACTCTGTCAATACACCAGTGGTCAATCTGATGAAGCCATTTTGTGGCTAGATTCATTTTTGCAACTAGGTAACACATGCAGAAAATAATGGTAAAGGTTCTAGTTTTAGGGGATGTCAGAGATGTGAACTCCAGTGGTTAAGATACTAATTTTTCTCAGACTGATTCATGGTGTGTTTTTGCTGATATGACTGGCACCTCAAGAAGTCTCCCAATTTGAATGGGAGTATGACAGTGTCCCCTCCAAGTCAATGCTACAATTCTTATTATTTATTCCACTAAAATTCCTGCTGCTCTCTATAGACTCGAAATGGATAACAGTGCAAGACCAGAGCCTATGGCGCAGAAGAGTCCCTGTGAAGAATGCCACTCTCCACCTCATGATTTGCCCAGGAGGCTAAAAAGAGGTGAGGATCACAAGCTCCACACACTGTTCACCATACCCAACGGTAAAGGACACTAACCACAGACCTGCTTATTCTTTCTCTTCTTCATATCCATGGAAATCTTTGTTGTTCTCTATGGACACCAAAAGAAGAAAATTTCTTGACAGAAGCAGTTTGTAGCTGCTTGTCTTCAATTCTTCACCACTATGACTAGACAAGTAAACTGAGACTTCCCATTAGGGTGCTGGGCACACACAGTAATCTCATAGGAAATAGTCCTTAATCCTTCCAACCCTGACAGGGCCCTGAAGACCAGAAGTGGACAGTGAGGACAAAAGAGCAAGTACTGCTGTAGGTTCTGTTGTCTTCCACACTCATGGTGTCACAGAAGGTCTCCACGAGGCCATGGCAAGGGGTGTTTAGATAGATGGCTCTGTCTCTGTGGTGGCTTTTGCTTACCATCTAGATTCTGTCCCAACTGATCTTTTCTTCTAATCATAATTTCTATTATCTCTCATGAATCCCCCAGGAGTGGGACTATCATGACCCATTGAGGCACATCTCCCTGTTGGGCCTTTTCTTTGACATCTGTCCTAGCCAGTTTAAATGAATAAGGTCATATTTTTTCTGGTTTTAATATATAGTTAGAACGTTGCTACAGGATGTAACTCATTACGTGAACACATCACAATGCAATATCTATCAAAAATTCTGTAAATTTGGGATTGCCTAGAGAGTATACATACATGAACATTAAAGTTCCCCTCACCCTTCTTAAGCCAAGTGCATATAGATTTGTTACCTTATTTAATTACATTGTCTATGAGTTGGATGCCTTCCACATTAAGGATGAATTGATCTTGGCTCTATTTTGTTATTCTGTATTTCTAATTTTTTTCTCATTCCCCTCTTTTGATATGTTCTTCTGGGTTTCTTAGATTCTTGAAAACTACCTTAAAGCTTTTTTTTGAAGCAAGACAAAGTACAAACAAACAAGCTCCTTTTCTTTTCCTTTTTACAGCCCCCACACACTTAAGGCCCAACTCAATTTATGCCTCAATTACTGTATAAAACCTTCTGGCTGGTTTCCCTCCCTCTATTTTCTTCTCTCACAAATGTGGATTCATCTTCAGCATTGTTTTCTTCACTTCACCCAGCTGCTCAAAATCCACAGTTGCTTAGTAATGTCACTGTAGTAGATATAATCTTCAGGCTTACATTCAGAGTCCTCCATCAATTGCCCACACACTTCTAATTTTATCTCTTTTGCCCACTAACAAGGTGCTTCTGCTCTGATAATTCAAAATGATTGCCATCTCTCTACCTACTGCTTGCAATTGTCAGGAACTACAACTTGTATTACCCTTGGAAAACCATTTTATTTTTCTAAGCTTCACTTTCTTCCATCATACAATGGGAATAATACTTTGCATATGTTTCATAAGAAATGATAATATACAAAATTACCTAGATTAACTAATAAACCAAATGCATACAAATGTCTTTCCTCTGAAGTATCTGGCACATAGTTGGCACCCAATAAAACATAATTTGGAATATCCTACACCTTGCTATTGTTTTACTGCTTGAACAGTGCTAAAAAGCTCTGGCCCTTCTTCAGCTGTCAGTTCCTAAAAAGCAGACAATGACCACACACACACACACACACACCCCAGACAAAGGGAAGTTTGAACACTAGCACACTCCATCCTCTACAGTCTACGACCTTGAGAGACTGACGTCAGCATCTTCCTATGTGGTCCTTCCATGGGAATATAGAGATGGATGTCCCAGACATGACTGAAGCAATCTTTGGAAAACAATCTGTACTGTGTCTCCTATTGCTTTTTCCTTCTCATTAATAACTAATGTATTGTTTGGTTTGGTCTGAGACAAGGTGGTTGAGTTGCTCCTTTTATCTATGGCACCTAAGAAATGTGACTGCTAAAGCAAAACAAATTTCACTTTTGCAGTAAGTAAGATTTTCTAGCTATTAGTAAGATGAGAACAAACCTTTCAATAAGATATGTGACTAATCATAAAATGTAACTCTTGGTGAAATATGAACTTTAAATAATCACAGTATCTTATTATCAAGTCATTTAAGTTTTCTTATCCATAGCCAATCAAATTGATAATCAAGATTAACCATTAGACCAAAGAGCATTTAAAGCTCTCAGATGTTAGGCAAGGCAAGGAAGAATCCTCCTTTGGAAGCCTCAGATGAAGCATGGCCCTGAAAACAGTTGGATGTTGCTTTCATCTTCTAGAACTATGAGACAATAAATGCTTAATGCTTTAAACCTCAAAGTTTTTGGAGTTTTATTATAAGCAGTCTTTGCAAACTAATGCACTATGAGTCTGTGCTTATTTCCAGGATCACATGGAAAAATAGACTCATCTGTCTTACATATGATAGTAGACAAGCAGCTGATCAATCCCTGAACCATTTTCTATCTTCTATCTTGAGTTCCATCTTCCTAAATATAAAGCTGTCATGGATACCTAAGGGCTGTCTCATCTTTAGTATCTTTGCATTTTCTTTCCTGCAGCCAAGAAGTGACAGGTCAGTTTAGCGACATTTCAGAGCAGGACTCTGCAAGAGTTAAAAGCACTGACAAGAAATTAAACGCAGCATACTATAGAGACACCCACAGTAAAATTACAGAATCAGCCTAGGTGCTCATCATCTAATGAGTGGAATAAAATATGGCATATAGACACGTGGAGTATGTCTTGTTCAGCCATACAAAAAAGGATGAAAACAGATCATCTGCAGGAAGATGGATGGAATTTAAGATCATCCTGTTAAATGAAACAAGCCAGACTCAGAAAAACAAATATCACGTTTTCTCTCACATATGGGATCTAGGGAGAAAAAGAAGATGGCGTGAAAGTAGAAGGCAGACCGAGAGAAGAAGGAAGAAATTAGGGGGAAGAGGAGAGGCAAAGGAAGGTAAATGATTGGATGGATATGTTCACAGTAGCCATAGGCACATAAAAAAATATTGTAATGAAACATAATTTTCTGCATAATATACATCAATTAAAATTTTAAAATAATTTCTTAAAAAGGTCTCTTGTGCATAAAGACCAAAATTAACACCATTTCTATTTTTTCCAGACATTACATACTTTCAGCAGCTCAGTGTAATGCTCACAATACTGTCAGAAAAACCAACCCACACTCCAGAGAGCTGACCTCTCTTCATCTGGTCTTGTTAAACTTGAGAAAGAATGGCAATGTCAGGGAACCTCCCCATCTGCAAAACCAGAGTTGACTCTCTCAAAAGCAACTGGAGACCTGTTGAACTCAGGTGAGACGAGAGCTCCAGGAATGGAAACACTAGCTGATTCTTCTAACTTTTCATTGTTTATGCTTTTAATTATATCCCAGTTAAATGAAAAATTCCAAGTACAGGGCACAGATTTGACTTTTAAAAACCAGATGTCTGGTGCTCTGGTCCTCCTTTTAAATTAACATAGGCAAACAATGTTATCTCCATGTTAACAAAGGAAATCATCTCCTCCCGCTTTGTGTTTCTTTTAGAGACTTTGGGTAAATGACTTGGTCTACTAAGCACATTTGCCCAGGACAAAACCAGTGCCAAGTCAGCCAGTTCCTTTATGGGAAATGACATTCGGCAGCCGGGCCTGAATCTCCCCATAAGCTCCACATATTGTTGAGGCAGCTCGGAGGATGCACGCGGATCAGTCAGATGGTACCCACAGCTGTTAACAGCCTTTGTGAACTGCTCTGACCTCCTGTGTCTACCATTTTCCTTTGGCTTTCCTTGAAAACTTCCCTCCTGCACCCCAGTGCTCAAGGTAAGGAGAAGTTCCCTGAGAACCCACAGGCTTTTTTCAAGATAAAAGTCACAATAATGAACTTTTAGGGAGCAGGCTAATGGAAAGAAGGAGATGTATTTTGCAGGCATTTTTAAGTAGCAAGGAATTTTTTTCTTTTCCTTTAAAGCTTGAGCACTCTGCTTTTCTGAAAGCACGGGCTCCAGTGCTATGATTAGCACCAGGAGCTGGAGAGAATCCATCAGAGCAAACCGTTGATTTGAAGGCAGCTTTGCCTCTTCTTTTACAAGCCTGGTAAACAGGCACATGAGAAAGTTGGGTCAGAGCTTAGAAAAGCAGTTTAGTACTTGGTGCACAGCCTTCAGAGAAAGCAAGCAAGCACCCAGTTTACATTTGTTGTTTTCATTTTAAGACGTATGGCCGCACCAAAGGTGGGGAGTGGGATGGGGATGGGGCTGACTTAAACATAGTTATTTTATACTATGCCATCTTGCAGCAGATTTTCTGAGGACTTTGTGTGGGTTTGGTAGGGAAGTAAAAATTGGGGCAGAATAGTTTCACACTCTACTACAACGTGATTTGCATTATCTTTTATAGTCTTTAATTTAGGTAAATCATATGTAACATTGCTAACTTTCAAAATAATGATATAATGTGACTGGCCAAAAAAGAATATGTTCTAACCTAATTTTATTTTACTCTCATATATCAGGTTAGATTTATAACCAAGATTCTGATAAAATTAATCTATACAATACCAGTCCTATTTCACACAGAAAATAATTATAATGCTTTTCCCCAAGAAAGTTAAGCCTAAGCGTTATTTTATTTGTTGTTGCTAAACTTAAAGAAAAATAATTTTAAGTGAATGTAGAATTTTCCATATATTCTCATTGTTATTAAATTTATGGTTAAAAGTACGTTGTTACCACATATATTATTACAGAATCAGGACATAAAAATTATGTCAACTAGTAAACTCATGGGAAAATCTAACATAATTTATAAAGTATGATTATAACATTTGTTATAAATGTAAAATCTATCACTGAAAGTTCAAATAACAATGATACAAAGAAGGATGAGGTAAATATAATCTTAATGGCAGCATTTAGGGGAATAACCAAATAAACTTAGTTGGGTATAAATTCTATATGAAATGAAAAAAGAAAAAGCTAACACATGGTAAATGGCCTTCTAAGGCCAAAAGGGGTAGACATACTCTGACTCTCCTAGTTGCAGTCTAGAACCATCTTCACTTCAAAGTAGGGCTCCTGAGGAACCCACACAACTTAGACTGATTGTTCTGAAAATTTAGAGGTGTAGAAATCCCTTAAAAGTCTAATAAAAGTCATGGATCCTTTTTCCATAAAAGGTATGTATATGTAATTTGGAATTTTATTCTCAGAAGCTCCCAGAGTTCTTGGTAGGTCTGTGAACAGTAGCCTGGACTCTAGTTTCCCTTGGATAGCAGATTAGGAGTTCATCTGGAGCAAGCAAAATCAAAAGGAAGAGAGGTTCTTCCTGAACCTCATACAGAAATATGTGCTTTGCTCATTCTTGCTTAAACCCAAGGCCCAGTTGATAGCCCTAGAGTAACAGTCACTGACATTAACCAAAACATGCTGATTTTCTACTACAAAACTATGGGCTGGATCAATTCAGTCATTTCTGGAAAATATCAGTCAAATATCTGAAATTCTTCTTTATATGTATAGGCATTTGACTGGTTTTTCCTGTGCTTTAGCTTCCTACACATAATTGTTATAATACTACTAGCTAAGATTTATTAAGCATTCCATGGGCCAGACACTCTGTTAAGCACCTTACATGATTACTGCCAGCAAATCTTCACAACAGTCCCATGAAGTGAATAGTTGTTTTGCTCAGTACAGTGATGAGGAAACTAACACCGACACGAGTTGAATAATGTACCCATGGCTACATCCCACATAAAGCAGAGACCCTGGCAACTGCTTCTAGCACCATGCTATTTTATATCCCTGAAATAGCAAACAAGACAGCTACCTACCTTCAGGAGACAGTTTTAAGCCTCCTCCATTGCATGGATATTGGTTACCAGATTATATTCACTCACTACCAAGAGAACACTGACAGGTTTACACGTTTTGTTGCACTGCCTTCAATTGTCAAGTTTCATTTTCATTTTACATTGTCTTATGGCTTATGAAGAAAGAGCTTCACCTCTGTCTTCTGGGGTCTGTATGCCATACCTCCTGTCCTCTTCTATCAAACTTGGATTAGAGCTTTCCATGTTTGGGTTTGCACTGTAAAACATTCATCTGTAGAGTTATGAATTTGTCATTCAGTATAATGGCCCTGACACAATTCAAACACCTTTCATAAACACACAGGCATGGATAAATTTAGGATTTATCTCTAGGTCCAGGTTTAGACACCAAATTAGTAAAATTTACCTTGCTGAATACTGAGTGCATGCAAAGAATTTCCACATTATATAATCTATCTCGCTGAGCTAAGTGCTAGAAGCCTCGATGTAAGCAAGGCACACACCATTTACAATCCTCCTTACAATCCCCCTCCTGCTATTTTCTGAAGAGCAAGCTCATGCTTGACAAATCTTTTCCCCCCATCTCCTATCACCTCCCTCTTCCTCACATTTTCTTAGGCCTTTAGTCTCTTAGAGTTACTCTCTTTTTCCTATCTGAAATTTTGGACCAGAGAGTGTTGGTTATCACAAAATCGTTTCATTTTGTGCTCACTGAAGCAAAAAAGCAGGTAAATTATTATCAGAAACATTATAAATTAACAAAGTATGAAATATTCAGATCATACAGAGTTCAGATCTTTCCTGAAATGAGCCTTGAGCTGTGGACCTCCAATGTGGTTTCGAAGAACATGAGAGTCTCCAATTTAATCAGGAGCAGTGATGGAGGGAGTGAGCCCTCTCCCTCCCCTGATCCCATAAAGAGCACATTTCTAGAACCCACAGTTCAGAGTCTCAAATTAATGGGCCTCACAAATAATCTCACTGAACATCGAGCTGGGAAATAAACACTGGCACAGTCCTGGTAAATTCTCTTAAACAAGTCCCTGGTGGGAGCAAAAACACCTCAAAGTGTATTTGTTACATATCAGAACAATCCTTCTAAAGGTGGTCCATGGTATGTGTAAAAAAAAAACCTCCTAATAAATATATCTGATAAATCATGATGATAGCCTCCATATTTCTTTGTTTAATTCTCAGTTTTCTTGTAAACCCTTCTTGAAGTTTGGTTGTAATGGATCATTACATCCATAATGTGCTCAATGTTGGAGTGAATTTTGAACAGTTTTTAGGCTGCATACTGTTTTCTTCCAGATAATTTACTGGATTAAAATTAGCAGTGTGAAAAGCTGTAGAGAAATCTAAATGCCTGCCAAATCAAAGAAATAATCGCATTTTTATGAATATTTAATATCATAGTCATGGCAAATAAGGCAAGTAATTAGTACTTACCATAAATTTGCAAAGTATTATTTTATGTAAATGTTACATTCTACTAGTTTAATATGAATTATTCATTGTATACCCAGACACTGACACAAACCAGTAAACATTTAAATCTATGTGCTATTAGTTTGCTTACCTTCAATGATTTTGTGCAGGAAATATATTTTTGTATAAATTCATGTTTTCCCTCTTGTCTCAGAAATCAACAAAAGACAATCAGAAGAATGTTATTTAAAGGCATCCTACTATATATTATATAGTGCAGACATGTCTGATGCACATTTAAAATATGTGGGCCCCTCAGGTGTACAGATGTGGAGCCTTCACTCTGTTCCAGCTACTTCAACTATCACGTGCGTTGCTGATAAAGGGCAGGAATGAGTGATGTTACAGAAGAACACTGCAGAAGTGGTTACATGTATAGTCTTATCCATGGGGGAACCACTGATATTTGCCTTCAGCCTTTGAGAGACAATCTTCAGGCTCCTTGAACGCAATACTTAACAGGATCATCTTTATCTGCCCAGAGGCTTTGCCCCCTAGAAAGTTTAACAATACAATTTATTTGGGTCATATTGTATCTGTGTGTATGGAACTGGAGGAACTGGAGACAAAAGGTCTGACTTTTGGAAGGGCTAGAGACTGAAGAATACACACATTGGTAGTATGTTCCTGAGCAGCCCCTAATTAAAATTCCACACACACAGGCTGGGTGAACTTCCCTACGGGGCCCTAATCTGTGAGCATTTTCATACACTGTTGCCAAGAGGAGGGAGTACTGTCCATGAGAAAGTACTGCGCAACTGAAAGTTTGGCATGGATGCTCCTTTTCTCTTCCTTGACTAATTCTGCTCTGTATCACTTCCTCGTGGTAATCTACAACCAGGACATAATGGGTTTCACTGA